CGGAAGTGAGAGAAAAGTGTTTATTACGTTTGAAATATGGATATTTTTCTTACAAAAACACATGGATTCACAACAGGGGGCCTTTATTCATCCCCCGGAGCCATCTGCGGCATTTTTTATTATAAATGTGCAAGCTTTATTTGACGACTTGTGGACTGTTCCACTGCAACACCCGCTGACTGCAATGATAACGCTTGGAATAGCCAGGACAATTTTTTATATAACTCCACCTAGGATGCCTCGAGGGTGAGTAAAACACAAAATAATTTTCATTTTTGGGTGAACTAACCCTTTAAGTTTCAGTAATTTTGTTATGTGCTTTTGTTAGTTTTTGTTTACATTTTCTTTAATTTATTTTTTTAAAAAATATTTTTATTTTTTAATTTTATTTTATTTCAGTATTTTGGCTACTTCAGTTAGTTACCAAAGCAACATTTAGTTTTTGTTTTTTTAAAAGTTTTTCATCTAATATTTATATATTATATTTTAATTACTGATAATTAATTTGAATAGTTTTAATTGGAGTTCAGAATAACAACACTGGTTTGAGAAGCAGGAGACTTCATCAAAAGTCTCCATTTGTGCTCCATTGCTGTCTAGGAGAAACTGTTGTGATATTAAGGAGATCAGCTAGTTACTAATGTGTTTGAACCTTTCTCCGTGTCGTCAGACAGTGATCCGAGCATCATGCTGCGCGGCCGTGCGGCGCTGGGGTCAGAGGTCACGGCGGACGGGCTGTGCAGGCTGTTGAACATCGGTGGAGCAGCGGGAGGCTGAAACAGAGAGCGTAATGTCAGAAGAAGCAGAAGAATAGAGCGGTTCTGATGGGAGTTTGTACCTTTGGGGTTTTATGAAGCACAGGGTTGTCGATGTGTGTCACCGGCTCCAGGATGTTAAACGGCACGAATCCCACTTCATTAAACTTATTACGACACTTCCACCAGCGGTTAGATGACTCGATCACCTGGACCACATAACAGGAAAATGAAGGTTATTTGTATTATTATAATGTTTGGATGATGATATGATATTGCAATACAAAACTAGTGAGAGAGACAGTGAGAGATCATTTTTGTTTTGGCTCAGTTTGGAGGAAAATACACACATATAGATGTGTGTGTGGGTTTACTGTCATAGTTTGGGACTAATTTGCCTCCAGAAGTGAGCGAAATCTGACAAAACCCATCTATTTAAAATAAAACAAATAAATGAATGTACATACATTTTATATATAGTTATGTATTTATACATCTGGGGATGCCATGAAAGAAAGAAAGAAAGAAATGTGTATATATATTTATATATATATACAGTATATATATACTGTATGTGTGTGTGTACCAAAAGAAACATGTTGCATTTTTATATAAATAAATAATAATATTTTAGAATATCAATAAATATATATTGTGTATTTATTTATTTTTTGGAGATTATAGATAGATAGATAGATAGATAGAAATAACATTGTTATTATTATTATTATATTTTATTAAAATAACAATGATATATCTCCAAAATAAATACACAATATTTCTATCTATCTATCTATCTGTGTGTGAGTGTGAGTGTGAGTGTGTGAGTGTGTGTGTGTGTGTGTGTGTGTGTGAGTAAGTGTGATTGTGTGTAACCTCTAGTGTCTCTCCGTGAAGTACAGACAGCTCACTGTTGTTCCGTGCAACAAAATCATAGCTGCAGCGATATAAGCGCTCTTTAACTCCGCCATCACTGAGGAGGAGAGACAGAGATGTTTTCTCAGATCGTACATTTAAAAAAACATTACAAATACTATTTTTAAAATGCAGTTATAAAATAACCACCTTTGATTACTGAGATAAAAAGGACAGAAATGTTGGGTCATTAATGAAAAGAGAGTGAGAGAGTCGCTGAACTAGCCTTTAACAGCTCTGTTATCACAGCATTCACACAAGTGAAAGAAGTGAAACTGCTGCTGGTGGTTAGTGAGAGTCGACACCATGAATGATCGTGTTATTCTTTTGTTATTTGTGTGAACAGACCCTAGTCATACATACTGAGACACCATGGCTGAAACTGACACATCCCAAACGGTTTGACTGATTCTTCAGATGTGAATCAAACTTACGGTTGGTCTGTAGTCTGAACGAGAGCTGCGTGACGGTCAGACGCGTGAGACGGTGTCAGCTGAGTGTGACAGAGACGATACGGCATGTTAGCAGTAACATCACAAACACTAAACGCACAATGATAGACGGGGAAATCGCATTCATGAGATTTTTATTAGTGTGCTTTTCTTCAGGATGGGTTTAATTCTGTTTTTACAATCTGTTATAGTTAGCATAAATTATGTAGAAACGGCTAAGAAAATCACATTTTCTTTTAATTTAAAGAGGCTAACCAGTATGTACACAGTTTGTGTTTTTTTTTTTTAAACACAAAAAAAAATAAATTAATACTTTTATTCAGCAAGGATGCATTAAATTGATCAAAAGTGACAGTCAAGACATTTATAATGTTACAAAAGATTTCTATTTCAAATAAATGCTGTTCTTTTGAACTGTCTATTCATCAAAGAATCATGAAAACTAAAATGTATCACAGTTTTAACAAAAATATGAAGCAGCACAACTGTATTCAACATTGATAATAATCAGAAATGTTTCTCAAGCAAGAATGTTATCTGAAGGATCATGTGACACTGAAGACTGGAGTAGGCCTAATGATGCTGAAAATTCAGCTTTGATCACAGAAATAAATTACATTTTGCAAAAGATTACAATACAAAAAAAGTTACTAGGTACATCTGGAAAAAGGGGGGGTCGTCTTATAATCAGGGTCGTCTTATATTCGGGCCAAAGAGGCTAACTAGTATGTACATAGTTTGTGTTTTTATTTTTTAAACTGTATTCAACATTGATAATAATCAGAAATGTTTCTCAAGCAAGAATGTTATCTGAAGGATCATGTGACACTGAAGACTGGAGTAGGCCTAATGATGCTGAAAATTCAGCTTTGATCACAGAAATAAATTACATTTTGCAAAAGATTACAATACAAAAAAAGTTACTTTAAACTGTAAAAATATTTCAGAATTTTTTATGTATTTTTGACCAAATAAATGCAGCCTTGGTGAGTGTAAAAGACTTCTTTCATTAAAAAAAATCCAAACTTTTGAATGCTAGTGTACATTATTAGATCCTTTTACCTCTACTTTTGAGATCTCAGCGTCCTGTCTGTGTTCTAACTCCACAGGATCGACCCATCCAGCAGCGTCTGACCCCGGCGGCTTCCATCCATCCTGAAACACGAGTGTGTACGGTGCCACGGGGCTCCGCAGAGCAGATCTACATGAAGGTAGCGAGCCTTCAGCATGTGCACATATCAAAGGAACACATCTCCAAAAATGAAAATTCTGCACCACGTACCTGTGTTGTGTCCAGTTGGGCCCTAAAGAGACCCATAATGCATTGTCCTGTGCCGTCAGGTTGTTCTGTAGCAGAGTCACGGCTCCTTGTGTCATAGCCGGGCTGGACACGGACGCTGCGAAACCAGGACCTCCTGTAGCCTTCACCATCTACAAACACACACAAATACAGGTGAATTATTTGAATGCAATTTACTGCTCAATAGATGGACGAGACCTTTCTCCGCACAATAGTGTGCAAACATTTGATGAAACACTTGAAACAATGCAGTGCAACAAAGGCCTGCTGTTTGCACAGGAGAAATATGAGCAAACATATAAATGCACACACATTTACCATTTCGAGCGGTTTGAAGATGTGATGCACGAGCTCCTCTGAGGTCGGATTGGAGATGGCAAATTTTAACCGTGCCTGTAAAACAAACAATGCACTTATGGAAACCTGAGAGAAAATATATGACACCGCACTGCTTAATAGCTCATTAAGAGTATTATAGTATTATTAATAGCAATAATGATTATTAACAATATTAATAACAATAAATAACTATATAATATAATATGAGTTATTATTACATTAACTTATTAGTCAATAATGATTAATATTGTAATTATTATAAATTAATACATATTAAGTTTTGTTCCACCATAGCTTCTCAAGTCACTTATGTCACATAAGATATAATAAGAAATTATTAAATATATATACAAATATAATTTGCTTTTTATTATTATTATTTGTTTTTCTTTAAATATTATATATAGTATTTAATAGTAATAGTATTATAGTGTTTACAATTATATACATACATATTTTATATTATTGTAAATGTTGGTGATGTAAACAATTTTATATAAAAACATGCTTGATGTAAAAAATAAATAAATAAAAAATATTTATAATAAATAATATATAAAATTAAGTTTACAGATAAGTAGAATTTTCTGGCAAATAATTAAATGCTAAATATAATTTCAAATATAATTAAACAATAAATAATTGTATTATTATTATTATTGTGCATAATTAAAAAATAAAACAAATATTAAATTTCAAATTAAGAAATTATCCATTAAATCATTAGGTAACGCTTTACAATACGGCTAATTAGTTAACATGAATTAATAAAAAATAACTGTTCATTGTTAGTTCATGTTAGGTCCATTAATTAATATTATCAAATATAACTTTGGATTTTAATAATGTATTAGTAAATGTTGCAATTATTCTGAACTGAGATTAATAAGTGCTTTTCAAGTATTTTTCATTATTAGTTCATTTAACAAATGGAACTGTATTGTAAAGTGTTACCCATTATTAAAATATTTTTTTACTTATTATTAATACTGACATTAAGATTCATGACTCACCAACAGGCTGAAGCTGTATTTGAATTTCTGAAAAGTGTCGAGAAACTCTTTCTCAGAAGGCGGTTTGGCTTTAGCTGTGAGCAGATCCTCTATAAAATACAAACACACAACAAACTCTCTTAAACACTGATCATGTGTGCTGTTAACAAGTTAAAAATCTGTAAGTGAAGATTTCCTGGTGCATTATGTTCTTGGAACAAATGCAGGCTTGTTTTAGCTTGTTTAAGATGATGCAGGTGTGATATTTTAATTGAGAGTAGCACAGAGTGAATACTGCTGACGGCCTCGTAACACAACACTTTCCCATCAGCTGGTCTCCTGATCATACAAGGAACTGATAACAGGCTCCATCTGCTGATAAGAGCTCACTACAATATGCTCTTTACAGAGCGTTCAGTTCAGTCATGTTTCAGGGGTTCGCTTTATAGTTTAAGTGTTTAGGTTTGATTTTTCCCAAGAGTAGACTCATACCGTCTGCACTTTTCTTCTGACTTTTCTTCTTCTTTTTGCTTCTTTGGTCGAGGATAATCTGAGCCTCTGCTGACTGCTGCAGCTTTCCGATGAACGCTTCGATGTCATCAAAGCAATGATTAAGCAAGTCCTAGAAATAGAGAGAAACCATAAAAATACATGCAGAGATCCTTGATTTGGTTTTTTTTTTAATTCTGAAACTGTTGTTAATGTAAACAGGGATATCAATGTGACGTCGTCGGTCATGTTAATGGTCAAACTGAAGGTCAACTAGAGCACTGGAAGTCAACAGTCTCATAAAGCTGTTCATTCAAAAGTTCCAATAATATAAATATTAAGAAAAAAACTCATTTCATCATTGATAATAGTAAGAACCATTATTAATAATTAATCATTAATAATAAATGTTAATAATTGAGCACAAATTAAGCATGATAGAATTAATTTATATTAATTGCCTTTATATTATATATGTATATGTGTCTGTAGGTATATATATGTGTGTGTATGTATATATATACAGTATATATATAGTGTATTTGTTTATATGTACTCACCACTTCCATCTCAGCCCTAAGGAATGATTTATCAGGTTGACCGTTTACCAATCCGTTAGCTAGAATTGAGGAAGAGCGTGTTAATCTGTGTCTGTTTATAATCAGTATTGATTAGTATTGGGTCACACACACCTCTGATGCCCGGGTAGGGTGGAGGAGGGTTGGGTGAGGGTGGATTTGGGGCTTGGGTGTACGGAGGACTCGGGATTCCCGAAATATTCATACTGGACTCAGAGAACCTGAAACACACACATTGAGATGACAACACTCCCTTTATTCAGAATGAAAGTGCGTGCTGTAGTACCGCACAACGAGCAGATTCGCAGTATTTCAGTGGGTTTTGATGTGCGTCACGGTGTCTTAAAATGTGATTTAATTGCCGGCACACAACGCTAATGAGTCACTAACAAACACATCAAACATCGTTGAGTTGTGTAACTACAAAAAACGCCCATGTGAACACACACATGGGAAAAAAGCAAGACATTATCTTCCAAATAAAGACTTGGACAATAATGAAACACCCTTTTTGAAACAAGTTCATTTACTTACAGTAGCTATGAAAATGAGTCAAAGTCAAATTTATTTAAAAACTACAAAGTCGAGCGAAGAGCTGTGCATTAAATGACATACCATTTTTTAAATGTGAAAATAATTATATAGAATACACAGTAACTCAAACCCTAAAAGAAAACTGCATTTTAATGAAAAAACATTATTGAATTTATCTATGAATATTTTTATCTGTAAGGGCATCCCTAAAGTGAACTTTTGTCAGATTTTGCTCACTTTCAACAATAATTCTGTCCGTAAAGTCTTAGTTAACCACACACGCTCATTCATAAGAAAATCTTGCAATCCTAGAAAACGTTTGGCATTCAGTTTGACATTGAGATGCCTTGAGGTTAGTTCAGCGTGTCTCCTGCTCTAAACACACACACACACACACACACAGTTTCAGTCATTTGTAGCTGATAAGCACATATAGCAGATAAAGATAGCACACTGTACCTTACTTGAGTCCTGCTGTCTTGTAAGTGTTTAGTCCTAAACAACAGTCAAGGTCGAATGAATCTTTCCCTCTGCAAATCTGTCTCTCTCTCCCTATACTCTCAGTCACACCTTCGTAAGTTATGTAGAAACTGGTTAAACCGGTTTATCTTCTCGCTAACAGGTTCTATTTCTCTAGGTTGTGCACACAGTGTGGAAATCACAGCATTACCCGACTGTTAAGATCCATACCTGTTTGCTTTTATTGTGTAATGTGCCACGACTCGCTTGATGTCATCTCTGATGTGCTCTGCCTGAGACATGCAAACAGGTAGAGAGTGATGTCATCAAAGAGGCGGAGTTTCTGCTTGGACAATCATTCCAGTATCACCTGAATCTGAATCAATGAAAATCGTCTCACTTTGACAGATGCGCAGCTGAAGAAATACATGCTCGGCCTCTTCTGGGTGCAGCTCTGACTAACCAGCAGGAGAAGGGATGGATCGCTGACAGATGGGGAATTTATGCAATCGCAGCGGAGAAGAGATGACTCCTCCAATTCCTCATTAATGGTCAGTCATGGAACAATCGACACATTTAATAAGCATAAATAAATATTCTATACTGCGTGCAATGTGTCACAAACATACAGTTGTCCAAAATGTATTTGAGTGACATTTGAAACTTGTGTGAATTTTTGTTGCATTAGATTAAGTGTCAAATGCTGCAGGATATTTTCTCATCACTAGCATTATTTTTCTTCATCATTTTTGAAGTCTCAAAGTCTTTTACTCAGCTAGTGTTTTGCTTTGCGCATAACATTTTACATTTATGCACTTGGCAGATGCTTTTATCTAAAGAGGATCATATTGCATTGCATTCAAGTCAAAGGAATAGTTCACCCAAAATGTAAAATTTGCTGAAAATTTACATCACTTGCTCACCAATGGATGCTCTGCAGTGAATGGGTGCCGTCAGAATGAGAGTCCAAACAGCTGATAAAAACATCACAATAATCCACAAGTAATCCACACCACTCCAGTCCAGCAGTTAACATCTTGTGAAGTCAAAAGATGCGTATTTGTAAGAAAAAAATACATCAAGACGTTTTTAACTTTAAACTGTTGCTTCTGGCCAAAATACCATAGTCTATATGCCATAATAATGTTTTGTCCAGTGAAAAAAATCCACAGACATATTTGTTTAGATCTGTTGTGGACTGTTTTCACTTGTAAACGGTGCTTGATCTATGCATATTTCTCTCCTGATTCCCCAGCTTTTTCACTGGGGAAAGCAATATTATAAATAGAGGACTGTGGATGGCCTGATGTTGAGTCCATTTTCAGCATATTTCATTTTTAGGTGAACTATTCCTTTACTACATATTATCTGTTGCAAATGATAAATGCATGCATTACTAAAACTGTAAAGATTTTTGAACCGTGCTAGTTTCTGTCTTTGCTTTCTTTCTCATTCGCCATGCATCTGTTTTAATGGTAATGCATGTAGTTGCTCTGTTCTGTGTTGTATTCTTACCAGGCTGTTTCTGTCTTTCAGGCTGACTTTGTTGGTTCGGACCTCTAAAATCACCTCAGTACTGGACAGCCGATAAGAATCAATGAGAAGAGGAATCCGTGAAAGAGCCTCTTCAACCGTATCCACTCCCTCATCTCCCAAAGAAAAACTCACCAGCCGCTGGATAAAAAAACAGAGAAAAAAACAAAAAATGAGCATCAGAGATATCAGGCTGTAAAAAAGATAAACATAAAACATGGCAATGCACACACAGTTATCAGAATCATGCATGAATTACCTCTTCAACTACCTTTTCTACATTTATCCTAGTTATTTGATATCAATAATTAACGGTAAATTACCTTTCCAGAACTCCCCAAATTTGGTTATTTAAAACGTTGCTTCTGGCCAAAATACAAGTCCATAATCCATAATAACGCTTGCTCCAGTGAAAAAGTCCATCTACTGTTGTCTCTCACATCAAAATCCACCCACATATTTGTTTAGAACCATTTTGGACTGTTTTCACTTGTAAATGGTGCTTGATCTGTGCAGATTTCTCTCCTGATTCAGACCAGATGACTTTTTCTCTGGAGAAAGCAGTATTACGGATAGAGGACTCTCTATCCATATCATAACCAGAAACAATGGTATGAAATGAAAAGCGCCTTAATAATGGATTTGTTTCTTACAAATGTGCCAACCCAACATCTTTGATGGCCTGAGGGTGAGTAAATGTTCAGCAAATGTTCAATTTTGGGTGAACTATTCCTTGCATTGAAGGAGGAACTCTTCTGAACTCTTTTTTTTTAACACCAGACAAGAAGAAACCATCCATACTACCCTAGCAACCACTCAAGCATGCACGGCAAACACTTCATGATACTCACAGTAAGCAGGTATTGAGATACGACCCCCATCAAGACCATCGACTGTCACACACCTGTGGATCACAACAGATCACAGATCAAACATGTGCATATGTGACGTGGGTGTTCAAATGTGACTGACATTTCGACACATAAATAGCTTCAGAACGTGTCATTTTTACACCTTCCCTATCTCTCTCGTCCCGTTCGACCTGTCTGACTGCCTGCAGGCTGGGATTCCTGCCAGTTCAAATTTACAGACACTTTAAGTACCTACATTCTCTTTTACACTGATGCACAGAGAGCTTATCTCAGATGTTTTATTATGAGGAATTAATAAAATACAATAAAATGAGCTAAATAAGCATCTATCTGAGCATAGAGACAGTTACAAATAAACAGACAGAAACTCTGACTCATTTAAGGAATAGTTCAGCCAAATATGAACACTTTGTCATCATTTACTCACCCTCATGTTACAAAGGAACACAAAGGGAAATAAATAGGAGATTAGGATGAAGAGTTCAAGCTGCTCTTTTACAGTGGCTAGGGGCTGTCAAACTCCAAAAAGGACAAAGCACACCATAAAAATGAAAATGCTGAAAATGTCACCCTTCACCAAAACAAGAGAGTGACATCAATGAGACACACACAAATAATATGTGACCCTGGACCACAAAACCAGTCTTAAGTCGCTGGGGTATATTTTTAGCAATAGCCAAAAAAAACATTGTATGGGTCAGAATTACCGATTTTTCTTTGATGCCAAAAATCATTAGGATATTAAGTAAAGATCATGTTCCATAAACATATTTAGTACATTTCCTACCGTAAATATATCAAAACCTAATTTTGATTAGTAATATGCATTGCTAAGAACTCTCTGATTGGGCGGTTCTTCCTTGTGATTGACAGCTGCAATGTAACTCAACGTGGCAAAATAAACTCCATAGGAATGAACTTTCTCTTCGGTGCTGAAACAGCACCTGTAGTTTTAAAATGTGGATGATCGTTTAGTCCCGACGCATTTTATTGGTCTTTGGGGTCCTGGCATTTCATCTGAATTAGAAGTGTTTAAAACTGTGAACATTTCTTTGATTTGTGTGTGATCTTCAGAGGACAACGAGGAGGTTTTCATAGAGGAGTCTACTACATTATCAATCCTAAAAGAGGTAGGTCATAACAAAGGTTGTTGATTATTATTAATATTATTTACTTATTAGTAAGTCAGATGACATTGCCATAGTTTTAGTTTAAAAAAAGAGAAATTTTAAAATGGTGTTCAACTTGCATTAGAGAGCCTATGTAGTTTTTATGTTGCTTTTATTAAATGAATCTTAGCACAATCCAAGGCAATTATTAACCCTGACAAGGCTTGTTTACCATATATGAGAGTATGTTTTGTGTCCTGGTCAGTTGGGTCACTTTGACAGTGAAATAAGATGCAAAGTACCAGCAGCGCCATCTGCTGGGAGTGACTTTTACAATCTCAGTGTAATTCTGTTCTGATATTGCATCATTCATCAACTTTCTGAAGAGCCGCATGTCAGCTGTACAGCACATGGAGAATCATGCTAAAAATATAAATTCAGCTATAGAGGCAGATGGTTACTGATGGCAAACTGATTCGAATGCGTTGCAAGGAAAAACAAAGGGAATCTTTGTTTGTGTGTATTAAAGAAAAAACGATCATACGAAGGATAATTCATTATATTTAATGCATCAGTAACGTTGAGCGTTTCTTCCTATAACTGTTTTCATAATTATACATTTAAATAACCTTTTATAATCTAACTTTTTAAGTTTAGAAACTAACGAGGTGATATTTTAGACTAAAGCATGAATATATTTGTGCGCGCTTTCACAAAGCTTAGAACGCCGATTCGCTCAACAGTGAGTGGGCGGCAGTGTTGCCAAGTCCGAGGTTTTCCCGCGGAATTGTGCTACTTTAACACTGTTGCCGCAGGTTGTTTTTCATGTCCCCGGATTGAAGCGACCACATTAACGTGATATTTAGCCACTGGAATGTGGATTTTACCAGGAGAACCCCACAAAAAACGTGTATTTTACACCCCGGAACGTAACCTATTAGGCGGGTTTTGTTGTGAAAACCTGGCAACCCTGGCGGGCGGAGGATGTTTCCTGAAAATGCTCTTTTATAAGAATGCGAACCGCCAATAAGCTCAAAGAAGAAGAAGATGTTTCCTGAGGTTCCGCAAATCCATCGCAACCACTCCTGAAGAGTAAAACCCCGCGAAAATAAATGTCTTTCTCTGTCGCCATATACTTTAAGTCATTGGTTCTCTAGTTTGTATTTGTATGGTTCGGCTGGGGAACTCGAGAAGTGGTGTTTTTAAGAGGATTTGAGCCGCATGTGTGAACCGCAAGTCATTAACACGTGCCTTTGAGAATTAAAGACAAAAACTACAGCGGTGAGAATTTATTTAAGGCCTATATTTACTATGTGTGCATAGATATTAATAATAAGCTTTCCTGTTTTACATGCTAATTTGGAAGCATAAAACACAAACTGACATCTGGTGAAAACGGTCTGATTGATTCATTAGTGAATCCGTTTTTAAAATCCATATCCAGTATTTACAGACGACTGGAAAGATTTAGGAAATTCACAGATCAAGCCGTATTCACATGGTGGCTCTAATGCTGTTCCTCACTTTGATCGTGTAGTTTTTACTCCATCATTTGTTTGGACTGATTACTCAAACGGAAGTGAACTTGAATAGCCGTCAGACACTAAGCAGCACACATGATTGAGCAGTTTTATGACTGAACTGGCAAGATAAGATCGATTTTTTTTTATACTTGCATGTCTTATAACAAAGATAAATCCGCCGTGGCTTTGTGTGATTTGTTTGAATGGACAAACAAGCTGTTTCTGTCTCTCAGATGACGTCCGAGAAACCGCCGTTGCCTGTGGACAGCCAGCGGGACGAGACTGAAGCGGGTTTAGGGGTCGAGCAGGAGGTCGCGCTGGAAGCGGCCCGAGATGGCTGGGACAGTAAGGTGGAATACTTCCTGGCTCAGGTGGGATTCAGTGTGGGATTGGGAAACGTTTGGAGGTTCCCGTACCTCTGCCACCAGAATGGAGGAGGTGAGTGAGGAGGAGGAGATCGTTTTGATTGGATGCAATTGATATCCAGGCTTGCTTTTGTTTTATAATTGTCATATTGCTGTCTTTCAGGAGCGTTCATCTTGCTGTATGTGCTGTTGATGGTGCTGGTTGGTGTGCCGTTGTTTTTTATGGAGCTGGCGGCGGGTCAGAGCATCAGACAGGGCAGCATCGGCGTCTGGAGGCACATTTCTCCGAAGCTTGTTGGCATTGGCTACTCCAGCTGTGTGGTGAGCAATATTATGTTTTATTGGTCATTTGAAATGGTGCATAATACAGAAACTGAGCTTTTTTTTAGCACACTGCACAAAATTATTACGAAAACGTAATTAAAGCACACCTGCAGTCAGTAATTGTATCGCTAAATGGCATATTATTATGTCAAAATGACATTTAAGCATTTTTTCCCTGTGAAAATTATTCTTCATTGCTTAAAATGGCTTTAATAATGTACAGTATTTGGAAAATAATGTGTTTTTTGAACCTTAAACCGCATAAACACATTGCATTACACCAAATACACAAAATAATGTTGTTCTTAGCAACATCATATGACTTTTTTAAATTTAACTATACACCTTTACCTCATTTAATACTGGTGTTCGTGGTTTCATATATATAGTATAGTACCTTTTTAAAAAAAAATCACATTTAATAATTGTGTATTCAATCTCATAGCATTATTTATGCAATTATAAATGCATTCAAAATAGGGCTGAACGATTTTGGAAAATCTAATTGCGATTATTTATTTATTTTTTACCAATATTGCGATTGAGATTTAATATGCAATTATTTTTTTAAAGCTTTTTATGTTCTGTATTATTCAACAAAGACAAGGTATAAATCATTGTATAGTATGACCAAAACAATATTAGATTAAACATAAATGTTCTTTTCTGTAGGCCAGGCCTGTATGTTACAATGAAATTAGGTGATGCATGAATTGATATGAATGACATTTTATTTACAATCACAGTAGCATATTGACTGATTTGTTGAACTTCCAACCTTGTAAGCATGTAATAATTATGACAACATAAAGCACTGACAAATAAGCCTGGTATAAACATTAATATGAAGGTCAGTAACAAATCACACAAAGTAGATTGCAGAAATATAAAAACAAATCTGTTGCTTTACCACACTACTTTAGGTAATTCACAGTCACTGTAATAAACATATGTAAACATGTGCACTGCACTTTTTAAACACTGTCTGTTAACTTTACACCAATGGTTCTCAAACTTTTTTGGTTGCGCCCCCCTCAGACTACCAAATAATTTCACTAAACATTATGAAAAATCTGTGTTTTTCACATTGAGCAGCATTAACTACACAGAGCCGTTGTTCACAGACAAGCTGTGCAAAAAATCGCGCGAATATGAACGTGGTTTTGCGCAGCTTGTCGGTGAACAACGGCTCTGTGTAGTTAATGCTGCTCAATGTGAAAGCCCGCAGGTGATGGAGATTTACCGCTGATTACAGAATGGCTTTACTGACAAGATGTGCGTTAAATATAGCATGCGATTTATCGTGCAGCCCTACTTTAAATAAATAAGAATATATATACATTACCTTATTATATATATTATCTTAAGGTCAAAGTCTTCAGTAATGAAATGCACCGTAACACTGTTGCTGCTTGAGTAATTTAGGGCTCCAGACTCATTCTTCCCACTGGTCGCTCTTTTGCGACTAACTTTCTCAGGTGGTCGCATGAGCACATGATTTGGTCGCAATTGTTTTTTTTTTTGTTTTTTTTGGCTACAACATGGGATTAATCAATGCATGCTGATGAACTTTAATCATAGTTTATAGTTATATGGAAACGAAAGAGGTTAACATTCAACCGGTTCTTTTTCATTAGTAGTAGTATTTGTGATTTGAATTTTGTGAACGGGAGTTCCTCTTTTGCTATGTTATAAGCTGGCTTCTGATGCTTTAAAAAACGTTTATTAACAAAAATGAATAAGATGAGGCATGGCATTCACCATGCTGTATTATATACAGACTAATAAATTACAGAACGTTTAGCAAACACTGAGGAATCAAATAAATAAATAAATAAAAGAGAGCCTCCATAGCATATCGTGAAGTAAACAGTAAAGATAACGCAAATGAAAACAAAAAGAAAAGTAAAACTAAACCTTCTGTCGGTGACAGTGCTTGTAACATTTTTTTTTCCAACAAGAATACCAACATGTTCACCTTTGGTTTTAGAAGCGGTCTTTTACTTTACTTTAGCATAAAAACCATCCATCGTTTCCTCAATATTCGCGTCATTTTTGCTGCTCGTACCTTCGCGCTCGTGCTCTACACTCGAAGCGCTGCGCAGCTCAAACGAGTAACGCAGTTCGTTATGCTTTCAGTTTTGTTTGCCGTTTGATGTTTCACATATGAAACAGAAATGGCAGCGCTTATGAGTTAAACAACGCGGTGGTCGCGCCAGTGCGACCGCTCACAAAATTTAGTCACACAGGCAGACATCCATCGTTTCCTCAATATGCACGTCATTTTTGCTGCGCGCAGCTTCGCGCTCGTGCTGACGCGGCGAGTATACTCTCTAAGCGGTCTTTGCCGTTTGATGTTTCTCATATGCAACAGAAATTGCAGCGCTTATGAGTTGACCAACGGGGTGGTCGCGCCAGTGCGACCGCACAAAAAATTTTGTCACACAGGCAGAAAAAATGGTCGCAATCTGGAGCCCTGCTATATCATCTGAAGCCATTCCATATCTTAATGTGAGGGACAGAATTTAGGTTTACAGAAACTCATCTTCCTTCTGCTGCAGCTGTCAGTCATTCTCCGCTCAGCAT